TAGAGTACTCATAAACACTAAACGACTTCCCACTAACCCAACAACAGTCATGTTCCCATGGTTATAGGACATGAACCCATAACTGATTGTTGAGGTAAACATGGGAACGTGATGATCAAGTGATAGGAATATCTTTAACGGTATTCCTAAGATAAGTCAGAAAAGAATAAAACGTGTAAAACAAACTTGGAGAAAAAGAAATTTTAATAAAGATATTTTTGTAATATAATATCCAAAATTCATTTTACAAAAATATATAATCTTTTTTTACCAAAATATATTTTATCACATCAAAATTCTTTAGCTTTTCAAGAAAAAATAATTTTAATATATTTTCAAAGAGTTTACGAATATACGTTCATAATTTTCCTTAAAAATCAAGTATGTTCCTTCTGAGTTCCATATCACTATAAGTTCCCAACACTTACATAAGTCCTAAAATAAATTAGTCTTCATGTCTTCTTCTCTTATTTGAAGCTCCAACTCTATAGCTTCAATTTGCTTCACTCCAAGTTCCCACTTAGGATCATGAATAATGAACAAAGCTTGTTCCCCTAAGGAACATGACACACACTTGTTCCCAATAGGAACTTGATAACCCTTTGTTTCTAAAATGAACATGATAAGCATTCACTGGATTTTCTTCGCTTGTTTTTGCCAAGTTTGCAACACAAATTCTTCAATGTTCCTTCTCAGGAACTTCATTCATCTACGCACAGGAACTTAATAAAAACATTAGTTAAGTTTGTTTGGGTCATCATCAAAACATCATAGAGGTCAACAAACGTCATTTTTATAAGTGAGATTTTAGTGATATTTGACGGATTCACTCATAAAAGTAAAATGAACCAACTTGGTTTAGGATAATCACCCTGATTAGTGATTACCAAAAATGTCTTGTGAATAAGAAAATTCAATGTATGCGTCCCAATTGACGACTTTTAGTGGGTCAAGGTGTTTTTTTGGAGTGAAACTATGAGGATTCACTATGTAATCTCTCTTTAAGTTTAAAATCACTAAAGGGTAGTTTTTATAAGGTTTTAAGAGCTATGTGTTTAGGCTTAATGGAATTGGCCAATAAAACACAACACCTGTCGAGACCTTACTTCTAAATAAAAGGGAACAATAAACTATTTAATCATATCCGGTTATCAAATTATCCATCGGGTAATTATAATGGGGTATAAGTTTATTTTATGGAAATGGATAATTGTTACAACCTTATACAACTAAATAATTAATCTTAACCTCATGTTTGGAAATGAGGCCATAACCTTATATTGACTATCATTAATTATTAAAAACATGTATGCAAATTTAACATTCATTCTTGTGTTATGAAAAGGGTTTGAGATAAAAAAAAAAGTTCATAAAATTAGAAAAAGTTTTTATTTCTAAAATCGTCTTAAAATAAAGTTACAGTTTCTTAAATATCATTTATTTCCGATGTCATCTTAATATAAGATTAAGTTTCCTCAAAAACAATCATTTAAGAACGAAAATTAAAGTTAACTAAAACTCTTATTTCTAAAGTCATCTCTAGATTATAGTTCCTTAAAACTCTTTTATTTCAAAAGTCATCTTTAGATTAAATTAAGACATCCTAATAATAATTAAAAAAAATATTTAAAGTTCCATAAGTTAAAATTACATATTATAGTGTAATATAGGTTTCATACCATTAGTTTCTCAAAAAAAATTTAAATCAAATTTAAAAAATAAGGTAATTAAGAAAAACGTGCCTTTTTCTCATGTTAGATATCTTGAACAAAACAAAAATCATTAAAAACCACAGAATAATAAAAAAAATATTGTGAGATATGGTTGGAAAGCTCTTGAAAAATTCTATCACTTGAGATAAAGAAATGAAATTTTTTCTGGGCGTAAGGGCTGTTGCATAGACTATCTTTAGGACATGGGAAGTTACACTTCATCCTTGAACATTCTTTATATAAACACTTACTTCCTTAGGTCTTTAGACTCACTTAAAAAGAAAATTATTCTTAATATATATCTTATACAAACACATGAATGCATTAACACATTATATTTTAAATGCATAAAAAATTGAAATGCGAAATGTAATTAACCCCCCATTTTTTACAACCTATCACCTCACCAGTAGGCTTGGCTTTCTAATATGGAGTAATGAAAGATTTAGGTCTAATTTATCACATAATATCGTCATTACTCCTGTTGGTAACATCATATGAAAACAAACACATTAGTTAGCATAATAATAATAATAATTAAGGAAATTGAGAAAAATAGAAAATAATACCTGGAGCTAGATGTAGCTATTTTTTAGATGAATTATTTTGCTTATCAAGGATTAAAAGATGTGTTTTCCTTAGTTAAAATGAAATAAGAGAGGCTAAGTGATATTTTTTGAATTTTGAGAAATTAGGAGAAGCTAGTGAAAATAAAACTAATGAACCCCTTTTTTTTGGATTTTTGATTAAAGAAAATAAACTTGAATTAATAAAACTAGATCTTGAGCAATAAACTTTTTTTTTTTTGGTTTTATATAGACTAGGAACACTTAAGCAATTACACTAATTTCTTTTCGGTCTAAACAAAGATAAGAAACAATAATAATATTTGAACTTAAAAAATATATATATATTTTATGTTTTTCTTCATAGGAATGATATAATAACAACTTAACTAGATGATGCTTTTTATAAGCTAATAACTTAAAAATAAAGCTAAATTAGAGAGATTTTACTAAAGCAAAAGATTAGAGGAGAATTTTTTGGAGAGAAATTTTAGAGAGAATTAGTAGGTTTTTTTTTGGTGTCTTCAAAATGTGAAAATTAGGGGGTATTTATATGAAATTAAATAGGTTAATTTTTAAATAAAATAAAATAAATGAAAGGTAATTCAAGGATTTAAATCAAATAAAACCACTATTAATTTCTTATCTTCTTCTATCTCCGTCCTTACCTAAAAAACCAAACAAAATCACAATTAATTTTGGCCACCATGTTTCAAGATAACCAGGAAGATCATCATGTCTTCTCCTTCGAGGAAGACATGAGGATGATACGGGAATATTTCATGTACATTGTGGCCGGGGCTAGTGGTTATCCTAATGGATGCATTAATTTACTTGTTAATCCACAATTGAAGCCTGAAATTACTTCGGAGTAGCAGGTTAAAATACATGTGGCGTTAGCTGTACTTCAAATTTGTGTAATTTAGTAGTTAAGTAGTACAAATTGTAACGTATATTTTGAAAATTATGAAATAAAATCATTATAATTGCTCTTTTTTTCGTTTAAATTTTTTTAAAAAAAAAAGTGTTATTAGTTTATAAAAATATTTTAGCTTATACTTACTATGTAATTAAAAAAGCAAGAAGCAAAATTATGATAATTGTTAAAAAAATAACAATAATAATAATAATAATAATAATAATAATAATAATAATAATAATTGTATAGGATTGCTCCCGCTGAACTATCGCCCAGCCCCCAGGGTGCGCACTCACCGCTGATTAAGCGACTAAAGGAGGGCTCGTCAGCAAGGCAGAGTCAGCCCGCAGGGCTGACCAGGCTAAGCTCTCCACGAAGGAGATAGTACGCCTATAAATAGAGGGTAAAGTACAACGGAAAAGAGGTTAGACACTCAAGTTATTACACTTTCTATATCTCTCTAAGTACAGTTTCTATCTCTAAACACTCTCTAACTTAAGCTTCGGAGGGCGGTTCCTCGAGTCATCCCCGAGGGAAGTTTACGTGTGCTACTGTGTGTAGGTTGCTGACGGGACCCAACTTATCCAGCAGAACCCTTAGATCCATACCTGGAACAATTGGCGCTAGAAGGAGTGGATTGGATCATCTAACCTAAGGTTCACCAACTGAGCTAGGGACTAGTTAACCAATTACCATGGCCGGAGAAGAAACTGTACAAACACCCACGTCCAAAACTAATGAGACCAGCCAAACACCACAAAAAAACACCCCAAGTAACCAGCGATCCAAAAGGATCCACCGGAAACCCCAAATCGACCATCTCGCAGAAATCCAACCCCATCGAATCGACATCAACCACTGCTAAAGCAGCGGTGAAACCAGTAGATCCGGTAGGATCCAACTCTATTTTCAAGTACGGAATGCTGTTAACAGGCGCAAACAATGAGCTTATTGTCTCAGCACCTGCAACCCAGAAACCGCATCCCGTGAACATGCCAACCATTCTACAGAAGCTCTCTAAGTGCAGCAAGGAGCAGCTGGCTACAATGACAACGATCCTTACCAATATGGGTAAGGGGGCAAGCCCATCACTGACAACGGAAGCTGCGGAGCCCGCAGCGAAAAAGCTGGAAGTCTCAACTCTCACCCCGGAGCTGAAAGAGCTCATTCAGCTGAGGAAAAAGGTATTGAAGCTGGAAGCACGCAACCTGAATCGGGAATGGAGCGTGGAGGAAATAACCCCCGCTCGAATCAGCCCAGAGAAGCGGGTCCCTTGCAGTAGGTCACCCCGCAGAGCGAGGACCCAGCCCGGAGAGAGACAAACGAGCGCGAATCCAGGTTATGCCAGATGATTCCCCATTTTTCCGGGAGATTCTGGAAGAACCCATGGAGAAGGTGAAGAAGCCGAGCTGCAAGTAGAATGGAACCACAACACCCAAAAGCCACATATCAGCTTTCGAGAATCATATGGTACTCTACACCATGACGGACTTAGTCTGGTGTAAGGCTTTCCCACCAACTCTTGAGGGGCTTGCAGCGGAATGGTACGACGTTATCCCCAAATGTTCTGTATACTTGTACAACCAGCTGAAGAGAATGTTCATGGAGCATTTCATAACCTTGGTGGACAGAACCAAGATGACAACCGAACTGATGTCCCTGGTTCAGGGAAAGGATGAGCCTATGAGGGAGTTCATCACCAGATTCAACAAGGAGGCAACAACCATTCTAAATATGAGCCAGGAAGTAGCTCTATTAGCAATCTAGAGTGGCCTACTGCTAGGGTCACCATTCAGAGCATATATGGGGCGTAAGAGCCTCAAAACACTCGCTGAAGCGCTGGGTAAAGCGCATGAGTTTATCAAAGAAGACGAGACTGACAGAGCAATGCTGGGTAGTAAAGCAACAGGTGACTCGGTTAAGCGGGCAGAGGTCACCCGGGCAGAGAACACAGCCAGGGTGGACCAGCCGAGCAGAGCTGAGCAAAACCGCAGAGAAGCGGACAGGGCAGTGGGACTGAGAAGGTACGATCCAAGGAGAGGGCTAAGGCCGGGGAAGTCTGATTAGTATACCCCACTAACCCATTCCAGATCTCACATATTCAGCGTAAATAAGGCTGATGATAAGTGGCTGAGGCCTCCAAGGATGGTAAATAGGAGTTGTGATACCAGTAAGTGGTGTGACTTTCACGGGGACTATGGCCATACCACTAAAGAATGCACGCACTTGAAGGAAAACATAGAGGACTTGGTCATGAGAGGATACCTGAGTCAATTTAAGCAGCGTGGTGAGCCTCCAAGAAGAAGGGAGGAGGATAGAGCAGGCCGAGCTGACCGTAAAGGAGGTTAGAGGGGCCCATATGGAGACAAGGATAGAGATGGCAAGTCATAGGGCAGGGTGTACGTGATATGCGGGGGTCCGGTACATGGGTGGATAGTTAATAAAGTGCGGGCTGACCTGCGGGCAATTGTACATCAAATAAACGACAATGATAAGCGTAGATGGCCACCTCTTCCCTTGCATCCGCGAGCCACGTTCGACGAGTATGACCAGAAGGGCATAATTTACCCTCATGATGACCTGCTGGTGGTGACAATGAGAATTGCAAACTGGGAGGTGGATAGAATACTGATAGACGGAGGCAGCTCAGCCAACATCATATACATCAGTGCGTTCAATGAGCTGAAGTTGGACAGAAAAGACCTGGAGAGGGTAAACTACGAGGTCACCGGGTTTAATGGCTCGGGGCTTACCCCAGAAGGCATAATCGAACTCTCAGTCCGGGTAGGAGAGAGGTCAAAAAGACGTTATGTTCGAGCAGAATTTCTCGTCATAAACTCCCCTTCACCCTACAATGTAATCATGGGAAGACCGCTCATCCACAAGATAGGCGGGGTGGTATCCACTTACCACCTGGCCATGGCGTACACAACTAATGAGGGTTTGTCAGCAAAGCTCAAGGGAAGCCAGAAGACAGCCAAACAATGTTACATAACTGCCTTGAAGCAGCCTGCCAAAACCAGACAACAGTCCGGTTCCAAGAGAAGGCTCCCATAGCAACCTGAGAGGAAGTCAAGGAAAAGGAAGCGTGAAGAGTACCACAGGGAAAAAGATAAACAGAAGTTGGCAATGGAAAACTTTGAGCCTGTAAAAGAAGAAATGACCAGACCACTTCCCAGCGGGGAGCATGTCACAATTGAGCTCACAGAAAGTGATCCCTCTAGGACGGTGAAGATTGGAAAAGACATTGATCCAAGAGTAGGGGTGCACCTCATAGAGCTGCTGAGAAAGAATAGAGACATTTTTGCATTTTTCGCAGATGAGATGCCCGAAATTGACCCAACATTCATGGTGCATAAGCTGAATGTGAAGGAGGATATTAGGCCTGTCAGGCAGAAAAAGCGAAGCTTCTCCACGGAGAAAAACCAGGCAATCCAGGAAGAGGTGGAAAAACTCTTGGAAGCAGGATTTATTGAACCCTGTGACTGTCTAGAATGGTTAGCCAACGTGGTCATGGTGAAGAAGGCAAATGGCCAATAGAGAATGTGTGTAGATTTCACAAATCTTAATAAAGCCTGCCCGAAGGACTGTTACCCACTGCCACGGATAGATCAACTGGTAGACTCAACCAGCGGGCACGCCCTGCTAAGCTTTATGGACGCCTTCTCAGGGTACCATCAGATCAGCCTGCACGAGCCAGACAGGCAGAAAACTACATTCATTACCGAAGGGAGAGTGTATAATTACATAGCTATGCCCTTCGGGCTGAAGAACGCTGGAGCAACTTTTTAGAAGGCAATGGATAGAGTATTCCTTCACCAGAAGGGAAGAAATGTGGAAGTATACGTTGACGACTCAATTGTTAAGAGCGTCACATAGGCTTGACATATCATGGATCTGGAGGAAACATTCGCCACCCTGAACAAGTATAGAATCAAGCTCAACCCGAAAAAGTGTGTCTTTGGAGTGAGCTTCGGAAAGTTTTTGGGTTTTCTGATCAGCGAGAGAGGAATAGATGCCAACCCAGAAAAGGTCGAAGTAGTCCTCAATCTGCCCGAGCCTAAGAGCATCAAAGATGTCATGCGGTTGACAGGCAGAATGGCCGCACTGACCAGATTCATCAGCAACTCAGCAGACAAAGCTTTGCCATTCTATCAGCTGTTGAAAGGAACAGAGAATTCAAGTGGGGGACTAAGGAGAAAGAAGCCTTTGAGGGTATTAAGGAGCATCTGACTAAGCTCCCAACAATGATCAGCCCGGAGCTGACGGAAAAGCTGCAGTCATACATCTCAGCGTCAATACAGACAATCGCAGCCGTCCTGCAGGTAGAAAGACAGAAGCAACAAAGGCCGATACATTTCGTGAGCCATGTGCTGACCGAGGCAGAGCAAAGATACCCCCTGGTAGAGAAGCTAGCCTTCGCAATGGCCACAGCAGCAAGAAAGCTAAAACCATACTTTGACGCGCATATAATAGAGGTCCTCATAAACCACCTGCTTGAGAAAGCATTACAAAAGATGGATGCATCGGGTAGACTCTTAAAGTGGGCAATCGAGCTTTCTGAGTATGAATTCGAAGTCAAGCCTAGAGCAGCCATCAAGGCACAAGCTTTAGCAGACTTCATAGTGGAAGCCTCTTACGAGGAGAAAGAGGATGACGTTGGGGTCTGGAAGGTGGAAGTGGATTGATCCTCAGCCCAAACGGGGAGTGGGGCAGGATTCATAATGACATCTCCAGAAGGAAACGTATTTGAGTATGCAATCAAGTTCAAGTTCAAAGCGTCTAATAATGAAGCAGAGTACGAGGCGATGCTTGCAGGCCTGCGTATGAGCCTCGCAGCCGAGCCCGCAAAGTACACCTGCAGACTGATGCTCAGCTCGTTGTCAGCCAATTGCAGGGGGCATATGAGATACGGGAAGCCACTATGATGAAATACGTAACCAAAGTGAAAGAGCTAGCAGCCCAGCTAGTCCATTTCCAGATAGACTTGGTCCTCAGAGCAGGAAACTCTCAGGCTGACGCCTTATCTAAGTTAGCCAACTCCACCTTACAAAGCCTCACAAGAACAGTGATGGTCGAAGTGTTAGAGGAGAGCAGCATCGCTGAAAAGGAGCAGGTAAACTGCGTCAGGAGTCAAAGAGCCTGGTTCTCAGACATCTTGGCATACAAACTTCATGGCTCGCTGCCCAATGATGAAGCACAGGCTAAAAAGGTGAAGAAAGACGCTGTAGAGAATAATTTCAAGCCTTTAAAATCCCACTAGCTTGAACCCCACTGTGATCATACATTAAAGTACGGTGGCGTCCAAAAGGGAAGAAGATAGAGCAATAGAGTCGCCAACAAGTTTTTAAGGAACTTGTAAACCGTTCACGAGGTGAAGGTTACACCCCTTAACGATCCAAGAGATCGTCAACTCCATAAGTTCATGAACCAAAATAGGGTTCGGGGATGAAGGTACAAATCCAACCTAAAAGAGATTGAACCTGCCCTAATAATAGGCCTCTACTTTATTCTGCTCGTATTCATGTGCGCTTTCTGATTAACATGCAATCAATAGGATTAACCCTAAACCTGTTTAATCTATGTTGGTTGAATTTAATGCACAAATAAATCTATTATTGGCGATCACTTGAATTAATAATCATATTAACCCTAACAACATTATTAATTATCTTATTAAGCGTGATTACAAGTACCAATTCCCTTTAACACGCAATAAAGGTGATCAAGCAATAAAGAATAAATAATTAAGCAACATAATAAATAATCAATAATAATGATCATAAATAAAATAATCATCATCAAAATAATAATAAATTATAATATTCATAATCATGTTCATGTTAATATTTAAGCATAATAAAAATAGCAAGATACTAGGCATGATACTAACAAGATTAATAACAAACCCTAGCATGTCACTGAGAAATAAAAATCAAATCTTTAGCCCTAACATGATACTAACATGAAAAAATATTAGGAAGAGAATAAAAGGCATCATAGCAATCATATTTACTATTAAAATTACCCTAGATATGATACTAGGAATCATAATAACAATATAAACATGATTTCTACATCATAAATCAATTAATCAATTAAAGTACTTACTTGGATGCCTCGTACCTCTTTCTAATAACAAAATACACACGTTAGTAACTTCAAGGAAAATAGTGATCAAAACAATTAAATTTAATAATTGAAAGAGAGATTTGGGACCAAACCCTCAGAAATTAAACCTTTCACGTCTAGGACGAAGGCAACTTCGAATATGGCTAACTGTATCTAGATCTTGCGAATGCGGAATTTTGTATGTGAAAACAAAGTTTAGAAAAGAGAGAGAATAATCAAGAAAATCTTGATGAGAGTTCGTTATTGAAAAAGGGGAAATATTACCTCTATTTATAGGAAAAAAGAGGGTCGAAGAATTAAGAAAAGAATCCAAATTCGAATCGAAATAAAACTCGTAGACAACAGTTTTTGCGGATATTGTTTTTATCATATCTTCTGATCCAGGTATCGGAAAAAGATGAATAAGATGTCGTTGGAAAGATCTTGAAGTCTACTTTCTAACTCAATTAAAATCAGATTAAAATATATTGTAGAATAAAATATATGAACGAAATAGTGAGACGGTGTTAGTTTTGAATAGAGTTTGATATCTTATTCATATCTTTTCCGTTATAGCTCGGAATTATTATTATAATATATCATTGGAAAGATAATTTCAATATCTATCCAACCGTGTAAAATTTAGATAAAAAATATGAGGCACGAAAATAATATCTGACTGTCTTTGAACATGTTTAAATCCGAATAGAATTAGGACTTTAAAAAAGGAAAGTTCTATAAAAAAGGAAAGTTTATATTTAAATCAAATTCCATAATCTTATCTTTTCAAAAAAGGATAATTAAGATATTTTAGAAACTTATAGAAGATTCTAATTAATCCTAATTAGTTTAGGAATAGGATTAAACCTTTGAACCCTCCTCATGATCATTGGATCGTAGGTAAAATCCGGTTTGGGCCCAGTTTAGTATTTTGGCCATAACTTCCTCATTATCCATTGGAATTGGGCTTATAATATATCGTTGGAAAGGTCTTTTCAAGCCCCATCCAACTACACCATTATTTGACCCTTATCATGGACCAAACTTAACTATAATGGACGTTTTCATAAAATAGAGTGGGTTTTCGAAAACAGAAAGAAAGAATTTAAACAAAAACTAACCGCAACACTAGACTTTTCACACTTTTACCTCATTCGATTATGGTTCGACGTGAAAGGTATTCATCACTGGGTTTGGTTTTGGGGAGACAGAAATGGGTGTCTACAGAAGCCCCAACTTTGACTGAGTTTGGAGAAACGCAAGTTTCGAAAATAAAAGTCAGTATCGATAGGGACGGAGAATGATTCAGAACGTTCTGCGATCCTAAATCAATCTTGTAACACCGATACCTGTAAAACTAGCATTAGTTAAACAGATAAAAGAGTTAAGAAACGCGTATCTTGCACCGTCGAGCACACGTCTCTGAAAGTAACTGATTTGTTGTTGTACTGTTGTTTTGATGACCTCCTGCAAGCTAGAGAATGCCATCCCGCTTGAAAACTGCTACGCCTGTAACTGCTTCCAAATTAGAAGATTGCTTCGCCTAAAACTATCCTCCCTGCAATGATAATATTCCACGTCCAAGGGAACATCATCGAAGATTATTTCTATCGAAATAAACCCCATCCGCCTTGATAATATTCCACGTCCAAGGGAATACTATCGAAGATTGCTTCTCTTGAAACAATCCTCAGTTGTTTGTGACAACTCTCCATAATCTAGGGAACGCCACCTTGCTGTTTCGGTGTTCACTCGTCTCTGAACAAAGAGCTTTTTTTTTTATATGACTCTAATTTCCGCTGTGCTAGTCTTCGAAAAGATCACTGCTTTTTAATATTTGCTATGCCAGTACGTCGGCGCTTTGCTGCTTGTGAACCAGTATGTCGGTGCTTTTGCTGTGATGACAATCCTCTTTTTTTTTGGAATAGTTGCCAACAAAACTCTTG